AAAAAAAAAAAAAAAAAAAATAGAAATCAAAACTCAAAGTTAACCTTGATGTAATAATTGGCTCAGGCATGGATGATCAATAGATTAAAAAATATATTGGTGAAAGGCTATTGGAAAATAAAATATTTATATGGTGACAAAGTATCACTCCAAAAATTATATTCACAATGGAGAGCTCTAACAATTATCACTTTATACAAGCAATCAAACTTAGCACCATTGATGGACATTATTTGCCTCCTGGTATGATTCAACAAGAAGTTGACCACATCATAAGTATAACATATTGTGGAATTATGATTTTATGTGTGGCAATAATACTGTGCTTTTATAGGACCGTCTTATTCTTAAATATAAGGTAAAGGAGTTAAAGTTTCACTATGTCTACCACTTACTTTCAAGAGATTCAACAAAAAAATGTGAGTGGAGAGATGAAAGAGAAGAGAGAGCACACAAGAGAGCATTCATGCCCAAAGGTAACAAAACATTACCGGTAAATCTAAGTGAAGGCATTCAGATGTTTGCTGTGTTACTTTTGATTTTCCATAGGTTTAACGTTGGGAAGAAAATCCAAAGCCAATACTATAAATTGGCAGAAATACTCTAAGAAACTGTCCATACAATAAATAACCTTTGAGTAGGAAGAGGTATACTGAACAAAAAGGAAACTAACACAAAACCATGCCTATCATATACTGAGTATTTTTTCCCCTAACTTTAGCAACTCCACTAAGCAAGGAATAACCTAGGCTGAATGCTGGGGTAGGGATATGGTTGGGTGTTGGTACATCTGATTTCATCTTTGTGTCAGGAAAATTATGATGTAAGGATTCATTTACTTAACATTTAGCTCTTCTACCGCTCAGCAACTATAGCAGACCTTGGGTATACACTGGTGAATAAAACAGACAAGATCCTTGCTCTTGCAGGACTTGTGTTTTCAGAAGGCTAATGAAGAAGATAGCAACTGTGATGACATAAAGCATTCTAGAATTTGACATGCCATTATGTTCTCCTTAAATAGTTTTTATTGTTACCAGCTAACATTGCCGAATGCCTTATTTTTTTAATTTAATTAAGTGTGTCATATTAAACGAAAGAGATACAGCTACGAAAGGTTAGGTGACTTGCCCAAGAAAACAAAGAAATCCTATTTTATACAAAACATTACTTCTACTTTGAATTCTAGTGCTGCCACTTAACAGCTGTGTGACCTTGGGCAAGTTCTTTAAACCTCTCTAAGCCTCAGTATTTTCACTTGTAAAAGGAGAATAAAAATAGAAATATGGGAAACAATAATATACATGAGGTTGGGAATAGTGGCTTATGCCAGTAATCCCAACACTTCCGGAGGCTGAGGTGAGCAGATTACCTGAGGTCAGGAGTTCAAGACCAGCCTGACCAATATGGTGAAACCCTGTCTGTACTAAAAATACAAAAATTAGCCAGGCTGTGGTGGCACACACACTTGTAATCCCAGCTACTCAGGCAGCTGAGGCAGGTCAATTGCTTGAACCCAGAAGGTGGAGATTGCAGTGAGCCTAGATTGCACCACTGCACTCCAGCCTGGGCAACAGAGGAGACTCTGTCTCTCAAAAAAATAAATAAATAAAAATACACACACACATACACATACACATACACACACACACACACGTATTCTTATAGTGTTATTAATGGCAGTAAGGAAGAATTAATAAAACTAGGATAGAAAGAACAGGAAAATGGTAGGCTGGGCACAGTGGCTCACGCCTGTAATCCCAGCACTTTCAGAGGCCAAGATGGGCAGATCACCTGAGGTCAGGAGTTCAAGACCAGCCTGGCCAACATGGTGAAATCCCATCTCTACTAAAAATACAAAAATCAGCTGGGTGTAGTGACACGCGCTTATAATCTCGGCTACTTGGGAGGCAGAGGCAGGAGAATCACTTGAATCCGGGAGGCGGAGGTTGCAGTGAGGCAGGATGGAGCCACTGCACTCCAACCTAGGAAACAGAGCCAGAATCTGTTTCAGGAAAAGTAAGGAAAGAATAAAGGAAAGGAGAAAGGAAAGAGGAAAGGAAAGGAACAGGGAAAGGAAAGGAGGAAGGGGGAAGAAGGGAGAAGGAGGGGGAAGAAGGGAGAAGGGGGAAGACGGGGAAAGAAGAGGGAAGAAGGGGAAGAAGGAGGAAGAAGGGGAAAGAAGGAAGAAGAAGGGGGAAGAAGGGGGAGGAAGGGGAAAGGGGGAAGGGGAGGAGGGAAGGATGAGGGAAAGGGGAAGGAAAGGAAAAAAAGGAAAATGTTTGCCATATGATTAATCAAAAAAATATTGTCAGTGTAGTCCATGGCCAGTCACTCATATTGAAATTACATACTGGAAATCTGTAATAGTTAAAAAAAAAAAAAAAAATAGAATCTCATCAAACTAACCATCATTAACCAAACTTTTTAGTGGGGGAGTAGGTAGGAGGTTATCAGCCATATTAAAGGTAAATGCTTGCATTTAATCTTGGTTTTGTTTCATTTTTTTTAAGGTTTATTCCTAAGCTCTGTAAAGGTCCTAACTTAAAGATGTAATCACTGGTGTTAAAAATTATCAAATGATAATTGTAATGTTTTAGATTCTCACTATTATTAGTGTGATGCATAGCTCTCAGGATACAAAGTAGACCCTTTAATGATCAGTTCTTTGAGGGAGAGGATCAGTAATTTTGTATTTCTATACATAAATTCTAACACAGTGCCTAGCAACAAAACTAAAACAGCCTAAAGTCATACTCAAAAAAAAACAATTAATATTAGTATGATCTGCATTTAAAAACAAACATATTCTCACTATAGCTTTAAAACAAAATTTAGAGATAAAGTTATTTAAAAACATCTGAGATTAATATATAGCACCCTTCAAAGAGATGATATGTAAGTAACCTGAACCTTAATTTCCTCAAGTGAGGCCAGAAATGCAAATGTAATAACTATATTCAACTATTGCGTAACACAGCATCAGAAAAAGTTCAAGCCATTCTCACCTCTTGGATTTACATCCATATCTCCAGATGTTAGGCCAATCAGATTGGGGCGCTGTGTCTGTGTTCTTGAAAAGAACTGTCTGTACTGAGATCTACCAGAACTAGTAATACTAGGAGCTTCTGGGTTGTAACCATCTGGTTCATATGCATCTGAGGGAAAACAAAGCAACAAAACACTTAGCAAATCAGAGAGCGGTTAAACCATCTCTCATTGTTAAAAAATAAACAACTGCTTAAAAAACATACATTCACCAAAAAATATAAATACATCAGCCTACAGTCACCTCTCAGTATCTGTGAAGGACTGGTTCCAGGACCCTCCCACAGATATCAAAATCTACAAATGTTCAAGTCTCTTATATAAAATAGGGTGGTATTTGCATATAACCTAGGCACATCTTCTTATATACTATAAATCATCTCTATGTTAATTGTAATACCTAATATAAATGCTATGTAAATAGTTGTTATGGATATTGTTTTTAAAACTTGCATTATTAATTACTGTATTGTTATTTTTTATTGGTTTTCTTCCTGAATATTTTTGATCTATGGTTGGTTGAATCTGCAGATGTGGAACCTGAGGTGAAGGGATGACTCTATTTCTCTTTGTGTTACAGTATCTAGACACACCTTTTGAAAGTGAAAAAAAAAATGCTCCTATTACAGGACATAGATACATACGCCCATTATTAAATACTGGTATTTTCAGATTCATTCACCTACTCATTTCTACCCTATATATTCATCGCCTAATCCAAATGTGAATGCACACTTTTTTTTTTTTATTTAAAAAAAATGGAGATGGGGTCTCGCTATCTTGCCCAGGCTAGTCTTCAACTCCTGAGCTTAAGCCATCTGCCCACCTCAGCCTCCCAAATTGCTGGCATTACGGGTGTGAATCATCATGCCCAGACCAATGCACATTTGTTAATACAAATTTTCATGTACACAAACACCATAAGTGAAGGTTTGGGTTTTCTCTGTTATCTATCGTATCTCCAATTTCCAGGTACCTTTTTAATTAAAGAGAAAAGAAAAACCAAACTATTCATTTGGTTATCTGCACTTTTTCAAATTAGGGAGACAACAGCTGGTTTCACACATAAACCATATTTCAAATAAAACAGCGCATGCACACGCGCACATGCACACGCGCACATGCACACACATATAATCAGTAACTTCTATGATTTAGAGTATAGAAGTGATTCAGAATATAAGATGAGCAAATTATCCTCATTTAGGGGATCTTCCTGGCCACTACAGGCATTTGAGTCAACAGCCACTAAACAGCACAACTAGGATTCAGAAGTCCTCAATCCAGAAAATTTCTCACTCCCAATCCTTTTAGATTAAACCTCTCCCATGAATATTGTGCTTCTCTTAACTTCAGATTCACAAGCGAACTTCCTTCTTGCACAAAACAACCACAAACTACGATGAGGCTAAAATAATAAATAAAATTCTATTAAAGCACCGGTGATTCTGAGATATGTAATATAAGAACTAGAGGCTGGATGCGGTGGCTCATGCCTGTAATCCCAACACTTTGGGAGGCTGAGGCAGACAGATCACGAAGTCAGGAGATCGAGATCACCCTGGCCAACATGGTGAAACCCCATCTCTACTAAAATACAAAAAATTAGCCAGGCATGGTGGTGCACGCCTGCAGTCCCAGTATTCATTAGGCTGAAGCAGGGGAATTGCTTGAACCTAGGAGGCAGAGGTTGCAGTGACCCAAGATTGTTCCACTGCATTCCAGCCTGGTGACAGAGAAAGACTCCGTCTCAAAAAATAAATAAATAAAGAACTAGAACTGCTGCCCGACATTCCTTCTCCATTTTCCTCCTTTCTTCGGGTTTTGAAAACAGCTCATGGAATTACACAAAAAAGGCATCACTAGATTAAGAACCTTCTCCCTCTAATAAAATGTTAAATGATGTTGAAAATTAATCATTCCGGTCATTTGTATTGGCCTCCTCAGAGAAGGATGGCACAGAAAATTTAATAAATTATTATCACAAAGACATTCCTATTAGAGATTTTGTATTTCATTACTAAGGCTTGCATTCAGTCTCCAAGTTTCCTGATGATGATTAATTTTGCCTCAGTGGTTACAGCGCTATGCTTTTAGTTATCTGCCAAAGAGTATTTTTGGGGCTTCATATTTAATTATTTTAGCTTTTGTTCTAACAAAATAATTTATAATTTTTTTGTTTCTTGAAGACAACTAAAGACAGTATTTAATCATGAGCATTCCCTCCTGATGGGAACACACTGTAATGATATGCCTAGCTTAAAAGTAAATCTAACAGAGTTGCTTATTAAATTTCAATGTGTTTAAGGATGATACAGTTTGAAACTGATATGTAAAATAACAGCTTCCCTGGTTATGCCAACTCTAAAAATTACATGCAATATAACATACAAAATAAATGCTGCTTTATCTTTAAAAAAAAAAAAAGATTAGCAAATTATGGTTAAAAAGTTTTCAGTTACCATTTGATACTATTGACAGAAAATCTCCTACAATTAAGACTGCAGAAAGTTTTAAAGAAATTACATAATCAAATGACCTTGTGCTATAAATCCTGGGAATACACAGAACACCAATTAACTTAAAAGTCCTTTAGTTAATGATGATGAACTAAGATCTAAAGGCAAAGTGAGAAAGGGTTAAAAACCCCTCATGAGACACCCACAAAGCACTCCACAGATCTTTCAAAATACATATGTCAAAAGGAGAAAAGAGTTTTTCAGAAGTTTTATATACATATACAAGGGGCAAAATGGCCATAATACAAGGGGCAAAAAGGAAAAAAGGACATGATCATCAAGAAACCAGATGTTTATTTTTGTTTTAAAGAAAAAATAACCTAGTTTATTACAATGTATAACTAATTAGAAAACATTCAGGTAGATATTATCTTCCTATCTACCTGATTAGAAATTAGCTAAATGAACCAGTATCACTTTGTTACCAAGGCACTAAAAGTAAATATAGAGGAAACCACAGATGATAGACACACATGAGGCCTAATCATCTAGCAGCCACTAGAGACAAACCAAAGCAGCAAAGGAACAGAAAATAAAACTACCTATGAGCTTTAATGGGACTTTATGACAGCAGATCAGGATGCCAGTCACCGCTTACGCTGGCCAGCTTAAGGTAAAAAAGATCAGCGAGGTGGATGGCCATCTGTAGCAAAGCTTACCTGGAACCAGAGGGGTAGGGCTGGAGACTGAGGTATGGTACCCAATGGAGGATCCCATGAGGTTTCGAGGCGGCACCAAACGAGCTGCCAACAGAGGAGGCGGTGTCCCCAACTGAAGTCGCTCAGATGTAGCAGCACCATGTTCACGAGAGTACATGGGCTGTCCTATAGAGGAAAGAATAGGAGGGCAGCTGGAAATGAGAGTCACAAGCTTCTCTTAGGTGATGATGTGCTTCCTGAGACTTTGAGCCAAAAACAGAGAAATTAAACCAACAGGAATAGAAGTACAGAAAGATGTTCCTGGGATTCTTTCTAACTCAAGGAAGAACAGACATGGAACTTGTTAGGATCCATCAAGGTATAATGAAAAGAGTAAGAATTAGGTAGTATATATAATCTCCATCTTTTATGGTCTTAAGTGGAGAAAACTACGTGCTAATTTTATCCAAAGCTGAACAGTGAACTATATCAGGTTACTAGACAAAGAAGCCCTGAGCTATTAATTATACAGAATTTTCCTATCCAATGAGATATGCAGGTATGAAAACTGTCATATCCACTAAAAAGAAAACAACCCCCTCCAACCAACTCACATAATTTCAGGTTTACACAAAGTATGCTCCCATGTCTAAGAGCAGAAAAAAAGATAAAGGCATTAAGAACAAATAAACCACTGCATGCATGCCTTCGCAAAGAATAAGAAATGTTCCATAGAAAAAATTAAGATAGTGAAAATTTGTTATCCCTGTGAACACGAGGATTACAAATATAGAGAAAGGAAAAAGGACAAAAAACAAACAAAAAAAACAGATAAGCACACCAGCACAATACTGGGCACATGAAATCATCCTGGCTATTAAGAAGCACTTTTTGAAAGAAAGCACATTTAGGATTTATATACAGACTGATGCAAGAATACAATGAAGCCAAAATCTGAAGAACAGGATTAGAAAAAGACAAGGTATCAAGAAGCAAAATCCCTTTGGGTGTCCATTTAATATCTTTTTCACTGACAACCCCATCTGAGACCTATTTGTAAGATTTAGTTAATATATATGTCCAATGTCAGACATTTACTATGTGACACAAGGCAAAATAAAGTGGATTTTGAGTTTTTTTATACCTGGTGAAATATCCTTAAAAGCTGTAAAATTCCTAAAGATTTTAAATGTACCTTAATAGGACAGGCTACAAAGTAATCACTTGATTTCACAGTAAGTCCTAAAGGGAATACAGAGATGCTAAACCTCACTACCATTTTCTTTCTGTATAAGAAGTAAAAGAGGTATCCAACAGACACCACCCATCAAAGCTGCCTTTCACAGGGTTCCACCACCCACAGTCACTCTGGGACCCAAAATCCTATCTATCTATGGCCTTGGGGTGGGTGACAATACCCCCTTTTTAATGACCTGAATCTCTGACTTACTGATTATGGAATCTGTCAAGTAGTTTTCAACTCTCCCAGTGAGGATAATTAAACATGCTCAGCTTTGAGGGCGGAAAAAAAACACAAAAGAGGAAGTAACAAATCATACTGTATAACTGTGTACTTAGCATTATCCTTACATTTTTATATTTCTAATGGATATTGGGCCTAATACTTAGGTGGAAAAAAAAATACTTAGGTGGTAGGTTGATCTATGCAGCAAACCACCATGGCACACATTTACCTATGTAACAAACTTGTACATCCTACATATGTACCCTGGAACTTAAAAGTTGATGGGAAAAAAAAAAGTACGTTTAAAAAGAATCACTTATTCATTACACTGCAAAAACAATTCAATATATTTTTTTTCTTTTTTGTTTTTGAGACAGTCTGGCTCTGTCGCCTAGGCTGGAGGGCAGTGGCGCAATATGGGCTCATGACAACCTCTAACTCCTGGGTTCAAGGAATTCTCCTGCCTCAAACTCCCGAGTAGCTGGGATTATAGGTGCCCACCACGACACCTGGCTAATTTTTTGTATTTTTAGCAGAGACAGAGTTTCACCATGTTAGCCAGGCTGGTCTCAAACTCTTGACCTCAGGTGATCTACCCACTTTGGCCTCCCCAAGTGCTGCAATTACAGGTATGAGCGACCGCGCCCAGCCTAATTTAACATATTCTCAATGAGGGGAACAAATAGTTGTAAGCACACAATCAATTGCAGAGAATTAATTGTAAAGAGTGATCTATCAGCAAAATGTAGTAGTTGTTAAAGAGAAAAATGGGGCCAGGTACAGTGGGCTCATGTCTATAATCCCAACACTTTGCGAGGCCAAGGTGGGAGGACTGCTTGAGCCCAGGAGTTCAAGACCGGCCTGAGTAAGATACTGAGACTGTCTCTACTAAATATTTTAAAAATCAGCCACGCATGGTTAGTAAAAATCAAACAGTCACTTAAAGAAAAAAATGAAAGCTTAAAGTACCCAAATGACAATTAAGTATTTTTTTGGATGAATACCTATATGTTGAAATGGACAATATCACAATCCTAGCACTTCCAGAGGCTAAAGTGGGAGGACTGCTTGAGCCCAGGAATTTGAGAACAACCTGGGCAACATAGGGAAACCTCATCTCTACAAAAAATTTAAAAATTAGCCAAGTGTGGTGACATGCACCTGTGCTCCCAGCTACTCATGAGGCTGAGGCAGGAGGATTGCTTGAGCCCAGGAGGTCAAGACTTCAGTGAGCCAAGATTGTGCCACCGTACTTGAAGCTGGGCGACAGAAAAAGATACAGTCTAAAAGAAAAACAACAACACAGCACTAAAATAATCAAGTCGGGAGTAGGTTATGGATGAAGAAAGATTAACCATATTGATTAATTGTTGAAGCCAGAAATAAGTACAAAAAGGTTCACTACATTATGTCAGTCTACTTTTATATATGTTATTTTTTAAATTTTCCAAATAATATGTTTTCTCTTTTAAATTTGAGATGAGGTCTTACTATGTTATCCAGGCTAAAGTACAGTGGCTATTCACAGGCATGATCACAGCTCAGTGCAGCTGGAACTCCTGGCCTCAAGGGAGCCTCCTGCCTCAGCCTCCAGAGGCTGTGTCGCAAGCGCACACAGCGGGCTACATAATAAAAAAATTTTTGAGATCAAATAGGTTACAGTAATGGTGAAGATCAGCCTGTCAGAATTTATAGTCATTCAGTTTTGTTTTGGTCTGGGTAGAAAGTGATTGATAACTCCAAACTGCAAACATCCCAAGTTCATGTTCCCATCTTAAATTGCTCATCTAGGTAACATACCTAATATCAATATTTTCACCTTCTTAATATTAACTCTAATCAGTTAAAGACAGTCTTTATTCAACCTAAAATTTTAGCCAGTCTGTGTAATTTTCCTGAATTTGTCTTTAAGAGTATTCACAGGAAAAAAATTTTAAGTTTTCAGTTAAAAACTCAAATCCAGAAAAACCAAAAACCCAATACTGGCCATATTTATGTGTCTTCTCTATTAGAATACAAGGTCCCTGGCACACTTGGGAAGTTCCAAGGCCTAAACAGTGCCTGATGCATAGTAGAAATCAGTCACTTAAAGAAAAAATGACAGCTTAAAGTATCCAAATGACAATTATTTCTTTGGATGAATATCTGTGTGTTGAAATGGACAACATCGCAACTAATACAACATGAATCAAGTCAAACACAAGAGGGAGAAAGCCTCTAGACCAGCAGTTCCCAAGTTTTGTGACACTAAGGACCGGTTCCAAGGAAGACAATTTTTCCACGAATGGCAGGGGTGGGTGGAGGTGGTGATTTCAGGATGAAACTCTTCCACCTCACATTATCAGGCATTAGATTCCCATAAGGAGTGCGCAACTTAGATCCTCTGCATGTGTAATTTACAATAGGGTTGGTTATCCTATGAGAGTTTGATGCCACCGTGACCCAGGTATTGGGGACCCCTGCTCTAGACAATATACAAGGACTCTATTAGACACTGACTTACTTTTCTAGCCATCAAGTCCATTATCCTAAATAGAAGTGTTGTGTATTCCACAGAATTAAATGAGCAAATCACAAATTTAGAATTATTGTGTTTGAATAATTTTATACAGTTAATAGGAAAAGTATTTTCTGAAAGATAAAGATTTATGTGAATTTATATTAAGACTGGACAGTGGCTGGGTGCAGTGGCTCACGCCTGTAATCCCAGCACTTTGGGAGTCCAAGGCGGGCATATCACGAGCTCAAGAGATCGAGACCATCCTAGCTGACATTATGAAACCCTGTCTCTACTAAAAATACAAAAATGAGCTGGGCGTGGTAGTGCACACCTGTAGTCCCAGCTACTTGGGAGGCTGAGGCAGGAGAATCACTTGAACCGGGAGGCAGAGGTTGCAGTGAGCCGACGTCATGCCACTGCACTCTGGCCTGGCAACAGAGCAAGACTCCATCTCAAAAAAAATGAAAAGATTGGACAGTTATCTTCAACCTAACAATCAGTCTCCAGAATCCAGGATGTTACCTACTACTCTTACTTTTTCACACATTTAGTACAATGAATGAACTTAGCAGTTACAAAATATTTTTACTATGCTTCTTCAAGAAGCAGAACAGACCAAAAGCGATGTAGAAAAGAGAGTATTCTTAGTAACGGTCTTGTAAAAGCCAAAGTATATGCTGAATTGGTGAGTTCAAACTTGGAGGCTGCAGTGGTATAGCTCTTTTAGATTTTGTCTAGCAAGTTCTCTGGTCTTCCACCAAGAAACCCCCATGCAAATAGGGGTCCAGATGCAATGCCTCAGGTCTGTAATCCCAGCATTCTAGGAGGCCCAGGTGAGAGGACTGCTCCAGACCGGGAGTTTGAGACCATCCTAGGCAACGCAGCAAGACTCTCTACAAAAAAAAAATTCAACATTAGCTGGGCATACTGGCATGTGCCTGCACAGTCTAGCTATTTGGGAGGCTGCAGTGGGGTGATCACTTAAGCCCAGGAGTTCAAGGCTGCAGTGAGCTAGGATCATGCCACTACACTCCACCCTTGCTCAGGGCAACAGAGCAAGACTCTATTTCTAAAAAAAAGAAAGTAAATAAATAGATGTTTTTTAAATTGGGGTAAGTTGGGCGTGGTGGCTCATGCCTATAATCCAAGCACTCTGGAAGGCTAAGGTGGGAGGATAGCTCAAGCCCAGGAGTTCAAGACCAGCCTGGGCAACACAGAAAC